CTGTTCTTGTTCAATAGCAAGTGTTGTGTTCCCCTTGTAAAGCTTTGGGTCATTTTCATTTAAAGTAAACTGAAATTGATACCAAATGAGGTGCATAACCTAGACACCTTTCTTCTGGCTTAGGAAAGTGAAACACAACTTCAGAAAGAAAGGAGTGTTTGTATAGGAATGCTAGGAATTAAATTATTTGCTGTTTGCTTGATATTTTTATTTTAATCCTCATTTCATTTTCACTAGATGCTGGATAAAGTAAATCAATGTTAATGTGTTTTTATAGAATTGATATTTTCCATTAACATATATAATACAATAAATCTCCCAAAAGGTCCTTTATCTGTTCTGACACATTTTTTCCTTTAATGTATGGCCTTGCCAGAGGAGGACAGAAGAAATATTGTTTTTTATAACAGATGATGTTCATATTACTCATGTAAGCTAGTAATGCTAATGCTGCTAGCAGGTTCCTTAAATCAGAATATCATCCTGCTCTTTTCAATACCATATTCTCACGATGAAAAAGCCATTGCTGAGATGGGTACTAATTACTATTGACACATAAGGAGGAAATTAGTGTTAGAAATAATTAATATGAAAAACAGACGAATGAAATGGGAACGTGAGTCGTTTGTTATCTAAATGAAGTGCAGAAGTTAGTAATATTCTTCAAGAAAGAAATAATGTCATGGGGTCTGAGTCGAGTTAGGAGAGAGTGCAGAGGGTAGGCCCATGTGCTGTGATGGAGAGATCGAATGCTTTGCAGATTGAGATTTCTGTTGCTGCTGAACCAATTCTGCAGTGAGTGGTGCCACTGGGATCTGCAGGCAGAGGTATAGGGTGACAAGTGGAACAAGACCCTCTCTGCCAAATAGCAAAAGCTGTTTAAAAGTGGTTTACCTGTTGGAGAAATGCTTTGCACTAAAATCTTTTCTCCTGTCTCCCACACACCTTTGCACAGACCTGCTTTCTTCTACAGGGTTAGCGAGTGCAAGCATGCATGGGCACTGAACCACTATGAACATGAGATCTAGCCCACACTAAACCATGTGAGGTTTTGGTAGCACATTTGAAAATGGTTGCTTGTTGAAGCATTCTGGCTATATACAAATTATTTTCTTGCATTTCTGAATGTTTAGGAAAGAGGAAAGTTGAAAGAATGTAGATACCATTCTAGAGGACCAGGACTTCTGAAGATCAGGAGAGAAATAGCATTAATTTGCAGAAAATAAACAGAAACAGCATAAATTACTTCAATATAATACATATTTTAATATACATTGACTGGAAATCTAAATTTTCAACACAGCAGATAAATTTCCCTATGAGATGGAGTAGGAATCTTGCTGTTAGTAATGTAATTCTCTGTTAGACCACATTTCCAAATAAGCTTTCCTCACTGATAGGCCCAACATCCTTGCTTATTTACCACAGGTGTTGAATAAGGTAAAAACTAACCTCTGTAAAACGGGTGCTGAACACACTCATGAAACAGTGCTGTCATCTGCACAGAACAAACAGCCTGAGGTGGAAAATACATTAAGAAGGATGTGTGTGCATGTTGCAATGCCGTATCCAAAAATAGTGCAAAATATATTCCTGTTTCTTAATAAATAAAAGAGCTTTTTAAGTGAGAAAGACTTAAAAGTTTCCCAAGCCTAATCTTTCAATCATAGATAAGCATAAGTACATATTAGGAGCATGTCTCCCAGTAAGACAGGACCAATAGGAAAATAGACACAGTAAGACTGATATGCAGTGTTGCAGCCCGTGCTGAATTGCAAGATTTGCACTGTTGTGTTCATGTGTGAATCAAAATCTCTGATTTCAACAATGCTTCATTGCAGGCTGGCTGCAGTCCTGCTCCTCAAAGGCTGGGCTGTATTAGCTCAGCATCTTGGCCCCACACATGTCCAACTTTCCCTCTCAGTTTTACTCAGTTGTTTCCTACAGCTAACACCTATAACTTTCAAAAGCAGGTAGTCTCAGTTGTTTATAAGTAGTTCTTCTAATTGACAGATCTTTAGATTCTATGCTTGACATATTTGCTCCTGAAAAACCCTTGGCAAACCTCAGGTAGGAGGTTTCTAATGCTTTCAGCTTCAAGAATGGCTTGTCTGCAGCCTGCTCATGATAAGGGGCTGTGAAACTGTGATAGCATGCTTCCCCAGACAATTGCCATTCTGACCACTAGCTCCATGTGTCACTGAGCCTTTCTGTTCACAGAGCTTATCAGGGTTGTGGTTTCCTTCATACTGGGTCTGTGCTGACGTGAATTCAAGGACTGATTGATAACTGGTACTATGTGAATGGATATATGTGTCCACCCTCATCAGGTTGCTGATCTCATTTGTTAATTTTCTGAACGGAAAAGGTAATTGAGTTACCTTTGCCAGAGAAAGTTAAACGAATAGGAAAAGGTTATTTGTAATATTGAAGTACAAACAGAAGTAGCAAAAGGCCATTATGCAGTAATGTTGCAGTTAAGGAAACAGTTATGAGTCAGATGAATTAATATTTTGTTTCAATAACATCAGTTGTGTTGAATAAAGAAGCAAAAAGCAGCAGATAAAAAACACTTACATGGCCAAGGAAACATACATATCCAAACTTAAAGTAAAACACAGCACAGTTTCTGTGCTCATGCTGAAACAAACTGTAAACTATTCTTCAGAGAACAAATAACTGGCACCTGAAACTGTGATACAACAAGGAATTAAAATCTTAAAACATATATAAGCCAAGAATAGTGTTCTCGGACAGAAGAAAGAAAAATACAAATCTTTTGTTAAAGAAAAAAAAACAACAAAAACTTTGATAATATGCAGGACTTCAGAATGATTGAAAGAAAGAGTAAATAATTGCTGGAAGTACCTGAGCTACAAAAGATTCAGTACAATCTAACTTGAAAATATAATTGGAATTCTAGACTCTGTGACTGCTGTACACTATTTTGAGACCTCTTGGGGAGATACTCGTAAAGACAAAAGAATTCAGGAGGCAGGATAAAATACTTTTGAAGTAAGCAAAGGATTTCATAATTAGAGCAATCAGTCTACTGACAAGAGAAATCGGAGATGATAGAGAGGTTGCACCTAGATTTTTATATTATTATTTGTTAGAGACATCTAACACGTGTGTGGAGTTTATTTGTTTTGTGTTTTTTTTTTGTTGTTGTTGTTGCTTTTTCCTTGAATTACATATATAAATTTACAGCATCAGCAGGAAAAAAAATGGTGGACAATGCTAACAAATGGTAGAAAAATGCTAACAAAATTTGGTGATGGCAGAATCTGAGAAGCATTGTCAACATAAAGGTGGAACTGGAATGTCACACAGTGGTGTCCAACATTGATAAATGAAGTAATAAAAACGGGAAAGATGTAATAGAAAATGCAGAGTCATGCCCCTGGAGGCTAATGAGAACATCTGTTAAACCATAGCATGTTGTAAGGTAGAAATGATGGAGAGAGGGAAATTCAATGCTTAGTATTCAGTGTTTGACTGTTTTTGAGTCACAATTGTGATATGGATGAGGAAAGGGTGTGTGCAAAGCTGGGCACTGAAAGGGAAGTTTTAACGTTGTTGTACAAAACATTGGTCAGACCTTTGGAGGATTGCTTAAAATTCTGTCCACCACCCTTCAGAAGAGATCAGTTTCCAACCAGAACTGATGAAGAAAGTATGTACTAGAATAAAAAGAGGATGGAATGCTCATCTCCTGGGACAATACTGAAAGAACTTTATTATCATAGAAAAACAAAGACTGAAAGTAGATACAATGTATTTTCTGTACTCTGAGGAGGGGATAAGGACTAGAAAGGAAAGAGCTTTTGAAGCTTAAAGGACAGAACTGATTTAAAAGCAAATGAATATAAACATGCTGTAGGTAAAGTGATTGTAAATGTAAAGGCCCTTTGGAGGGGAGAAGGGATACAAAAGTGCTTGGAAAATTACATCTGAAAGAAATGACCAATGGTTTCAGTTCGGTTATATGATATGCTTGTCATTGCACAGGAGTGTCGTCAGTGGGTCGTCAGGCCCAAGAAGTCTTTAATGCCTGTGTGCCTCTTTACCCAAGTGATATAAATTGGTGTGAAGCCCCTTAAGCTTTTCTGTACTAATTAACCGTGCTTCAATACTACTTACCTCTCAGCAAATCAGCACTGCATTTTAGGTAATTAAGTTTAGCACATCTCCCTGCAGTGAGTACAGGCTTCTGGGAATCTTTTCCATAAATTTTGAAGCTATTTTTGAAAAAAATCTTTCTTCAATATGCATAAATATCTGAAAAGGAACATAAGTGCATATTCAGAGTGGCTCGCCTCTCCTAGTGTGTATGGCAGAAATAATTCTGCTGTAATATCAGTATAGATGATAAATGCTAAAAATAGTTTGAAGAGTTTCACTGTAACTGTAATTACTTTCAATCTCATGTTTATTATGGGCTGCACAAATGACTTATAGTGACAATTTGTTACTCGTTCTTCAAAGTGGTATTTCTAATTGTGTTTTGGGGTTATTTTCACTACAGTTGTACTTGCCAAGAAAAAACATATTAAAGTAATGTTGCTTTTTATTTGAGAAATCTAGTACTTCCTTAGAAGAAGAGAGAAAGATGAGTTTAATACAAAAGGGAGCTGACTCACAAACCAAGAAAAACATGTTTTATTTGTGCTTCCCCTGAAAATCCTGCCACAAGGCACAGATTGCCCCTGATTGTTGCATTTCACATGAGAAAGCGAATGCTGCCATTCTGCCTCACAGAACAGAATGATCAGTACAAGCTGTAGATGTAGCAAATAACTGTTTCACACATACAAGGTCTGTGACATGAAATCATCTTTTCTTCCTGTACTAAGCAAAGACAGAAGAATGAGGAACAGGGATAAGTCTCTGGGTCCTTTTCTAGATGACCCCGCCTGATCCAGGAGACATGCTGCATGGACATTGCTTTAGCTCAATACTTATTTTCCTGATTTGCACCAGTAAACACTGCCTTCTGTTTCAGGTTACCTCCGAGTAGTTCTGCATATCACTGTGGAGTAAATGGTGAGTATTACATTAAACCTTGTGTTCTATATCTTCCTTACTGCAAAACATAAGGAAAAAAGTAGCTGTGAAGACAATAAGGCTGCAAGGAGGAGGAGACAAGTGGAAGGTAAGGCATGATCTGCTGTGTAACTGAGGATGAGGTAGCCAATTTGACACATGGAAAAATAAATTTAGATTAGAATCACATAACATTAACATGTGAGCTTAGTCAAGCAAGAAGAAAAGCCTGCTGGTTTTCTAGAATATTGTAATTCAGTTGCTAACAGTGAAAATGCACAAATTAGGGACATTGTGATTTCCTGAAAATGTCTGGCTCATGGAAAGCAGGGCCTGAACAAAACAGTGTGCCTGCAGATTTTAAAAACTCTGCCTTTAGAAATGGGAAAGAATTACAAGACTTTACTTTGGAAAGGCATGCTGACAGCTGTAAGAAGCCAATGTTAACAGTACCATTAAAATCAGTGTAACTGACTGTGCGAGTAGGGCAATCGGGCTTTGGTCCCATACTCTTGCTTTGTAAACATCAGGATCCCTTAGATGAATGTAATACCAACTAGTGAATGACATGTTAAAGCCTTAGTAAAATTAACTGTGTCTGAAAGGCTGTTCCTTTAAAATGGAAAGCAAATGGCTCAAATGAAATGTGGGATGCAGGAGGAGAGGAAATCAATAAACCAACAAACTGTCGATGATGTGGAAATAATTTCTTTATGTTTTCCTGTTTCTGTAGTTTATAGTTAGCACTAGTACATCAACTTAACAGCTTTGTGCAAGTGAAGAAAACTAAATCCAAACTCAGAAACTGCTGTGGTGAGTTCCCTTTTCTTCAATGAATTCTCCTGCCTTCTATGAAACATAAGATTTTTTACTTATTTATTTACTTATTTATCTATTTTAGCAAGAACTACGTAAAAGTTGGTTGCTGTTTGAATTTTATTATTTTGTTGGCTTTTTTGTTGTTGTTATTTTCTGCATGATGTTCATCTCATTTTATTACCAGAGAGATTCTGAAACTGAATTTCAGTGTTCCTGGTGAATTTCCATTCAGCATTTCTATTTGTAGAGAAGAGAAAGATTTTAAAAATATGTACCCAAAGTCATTCACATATATCAGATTGTTCGGGCTACTTATATGTACTTTATGTCACCTTGAATTTGTATTTCAGGACATAAAGATGGATAGGATAGGATAGGATAGGATAGGATAGGATAGGATAGGATAGGATA